GGCGTGTGGCACCGCTATCAAGTCAGTACGCATATCCATGAGTGTGTCAACCCCTGTTCCAAAGGGTGCGACCTTCCTTCAAGACAAGCAGGGGGATCAGGGACGTTTGGCTTGGCCTGATCCAACGAGCTCCAGCCATTCGTCAGGATATTCTCGAGGGACGCCTTGAGAACGTACCTGCTTCGAACACATTGACACCAATGGTCCACCCTGCCGCTGTTCGTTGTTTTCATGGTCTTTCTTCATGCTACTGCCCCTCAAACCATTTTCTTTCAGCCACTTTCAGCATCCGCGCGTTTGCAGCCTGTTACCGCAGTTGTGCAACTACACTGACTGTCAGAGTGCAAACATTGTTCAACCATACTTTTCCTGCTGACTCATGCGCCTTTCCGTTCCCTCACCTTCCTTCTCATCGTGGGAATTGAGTAAACAGCAAACCAATGTCAGAGTGTGAGCCGCTCAGTCGTCCCACTTGGGTGCTGGGTGTGATCCCCTTCACTGGGGCGCTGAAGCCATTCGGGAAATCATCGTTTCCATTTTTGATAACTGATTCCACCTTCTCCACTTGCATAATTGAATTAACTGATCCAACAGCCGTCGGGCTTAAAAACGAATTTGACAGCCGCCGCGCTCAAAAACGGCATTCACCCCACTTGAGGCAGGTCTCCCAACCCCCCCCCACTGTGTTCTACTCCCTACCTAATTAGGGTAACATAGGGAAATGGTACTCGACACACTTGTGTGTCGCCTTTCCCTCTGTTGTCCCTTTTCTAGTCTACTCTACCCGGGCGGTGTAAGACAAAAGTCCCGCTCCCTAACTAGTGCACCTAATTCACTTCGTCTAAGTATTCAGTAATTCTAGAGTGCTAGGTATTCAGACACACACACACGTACACGCACATGGACATACAACCCCTCCCTGCCCCCCCCTTTTCCTTCTTGCGCTTTTCGTCGTTTGTTGGGCTTTCCCTCAGGCTTTTTAGGTGGCTCTTGAGGCTCGTTTCCCTACCCCAGTCAAGGGCTAAGTATTCATTTTTTCATTTTTTCTACTCCTATCGTTCTCTCTTGCCCTCTTAGCCCTCTTAGCGCTGCTCTCTCTGTCTTTCTTTCCTTTGTTTCTAAGGCTTTTTAGGTATCTATTCAGGTTTCTCACGCGAGCGCCGCCAAGCGGCGCCGTGTGTGTGTCAACCCCTGTTCCAAAGGGTGCGACCTTCCTTCAAGACAAGCAGGGGGATCAGGGACGTTTGGCTTGGCCTGATCCAACGAGCTCCAGCCATTCGTCAGGATATTCTCGAGGGACGCCTTGAGAACGTACCTGCTTCGAACACATTGACACCAATGTTCCACCCTGCCGCTGTTCGTTGTTTTCATGGTCTTTCTTCATGCTACTGCCCCTCAAACCATTTTCTTTCAGCCACTTTCAGCATCCGCGCGTTTGCAGCCTGTTACCGCAGTTGTGCAACTACACTGACTGTCAGAGTGCAAACATTGTTCAACCATACTTTTCCTGCTGACTCATGCGCCTTTCCGTTCCCTCACCTTCCTTCTCATCGTGGGAATTGAGTAAACAGCAAACCAATGTCAGAGTGTGTGTCACACTCTGTTTCCAAGAGTTTTTACGCGCAGGGGGCCGGAGCCAGGTGGGGGGTCTCCGGCCAACGAAGACACCCCCCACCTGGGTGCAAACGTACCTGCGATCAACTGTTGTCCAAGCTGTTCTACTCTCTTTTTTGCTTTCATGGTGGTTTTCATGATACGTTCCCCAAACCAGGTTTCCATGCACGGCGTTAATTCGGTCTGCTAAGTAATCAGTAACTAATTTTCTGCAGTCATGCATCACGAGAAACACTTTTTTCAAACACCTTCAAGTGATCGGACGCTTCACCTTGCCGTTGAGCCATTCCTTTTCTCGGGGAATTGAGTTAACTGAAAGCCTAATGTCAAAGTGTGTGCCGCTCTGCCGTCCCACTTGGGTGCAGGGTGTGATCCCCGTCACTGGGGCGCTGTTTTCATGCCGGAGTATCGCTAACGGACTTTGCTGCTTTCCGCACACGTTGGATTATCTTCACCGACTTCGTTTCACCACTGTATTCCCAAAATCCAAGCCGCCGGGCACCACGGTTTTTACAACCGCCGGGTATACGGAATGTGAAAGCCGCCGGGCATACAGAGAATGACCCCACACAACCCCCCCCTTTCCGCCGAGTTCTCTACTCCCCACCTAATTAGGGTAACAGAGGGAAATGGTACTCGACACACTTGTGTGTCGGTGCCTTTCCCTTTGTTGTCCCTGTTCTCGTCTACTCTACCCGGGCGGTTTAAGACTAAAGTCCCGCTCCCTAACTATTGCACCTAATTAGTTTCTGCTAAGTAATCGGTAACTCTAGAGGGCTAAGTATTCAGACACACACACTTGTACACACACATGGACATACACCCCCTCCCTGCCCCCCGCTTTCTTTCTTGCGTTTTTCGTCGTTTCTTGGGCTTTCTTTCAGGCTTTTTGGGTGGTTCTTGAGGCTCGTTTCCCTGCCCCAGTCAAGGGCTAAGTATTCACCTTTTGCTACACCTATCTTTCTCTCCTGCCCTTTTAGCGCTGCTC